TCCCACCAGTAGGTTTATTAATGTTCTAATGCACTCCATCTACTACAGGTCAGTAAAATCACTAAGTGGTCTAATGGTCAAGGTTGATCAATTTTTTCTTCAGGAATTATCATTTCTCTTAAAGTATTTTTGGACTTTTTAAATTTATAGTTTTTAAATATATATATATATATATATATATATATATAATAAAAAGTTCAAAAGTTTTTAATTCACTATATTCACTCATATGCATGTAACATTTAACATTAAATAGGATCATACACTAACCATCAACAAAATTAAGTAATAACTATAACACAAACAATGAACTAACAGCTGGAGTTGACAAAATAATGCAAAACAACAATTCTAGGTATGCACTGCAGCATTACATTTATGCCTTTGTTACACTATCAAAGCGGCATCATGGCATTTCGAACCTAGTGCTATGATGCTATGCTATAGAACATAGATTTGTAAATGTTATAGAAATACATTCAAAAGTACATTCAAAAGGATTCACTTTGTATAATTAATATAAACACATATTAAGCAAACAAACATAATTACACACAATAAAATTGAATCAAAAATTTAATATCTAGATTAATATTGACCTACTATAATAAAATTAAACCATCATTCATTGTAACAGTACCAAAAACTTAATTTCATTTGCAAATAACACAAGTTCTACATAAGTACACATGCCAATCAAGTATTATCTATATTAGAGTTTGAATATCAATCCCATTAGAAACTAGGTTAATTCTTGAGTTAGCCCAAATTCAAAATTTGTAAAGCTTGCAGTTTTATTTAAAGAATTCACTAATTTTTGAAAATGAAAGCGTTGAATACAACAATAACAACAACAACAAAACTTTATCCCACTAAGTGAGGTCGGCTACATGAATCCTTTTTCTCCATTGCATCTTATTGAGTGTCATATTTTTATTTAAATCTAATAAAAAATTATGATTCTAATTTTTGAGACATGATTCACATGTTGAATGTCCACAGATGAAGTTGATAACTTAGGGCTACGTACTTCTTTGTCTCCATTGAGATAATAATAAGTATTATAGTTTAGTGTCCTAAACCATGTTCAAACTCTACAAATTTTAAATTCTCAATTGATTGCATCCCCTTAGTAGTAATACGCCCACTCTACCAATAAAATGTGTGTTAACTTAATTATTCCACTAGTTTTCTTCCAAAATATCAAGATCATTATAGATTTTAACAATTGCCTAATCAAATTAAAAGTAAATGAAATGAGACAAGTTAATGCATAAAATTGATTCCATAAAGTTCAAAACACAACATGGATTAACTTAATACTTAAACCAAATACTAATTCAAAGAAGATTAACTTAGTTACTAACTATTGTTTACTAATATGAATAAGTGATGACAAACTCTAAAATTAAATTATAAGAGAAGGAAAGAAAACACCTGGAATGAGATTCGTAAATGATCATCTCATTTCTTTGCTTTATTCCTTTCAAAATGCACTCCTTATTCCTCTTCTCACTCATATAAATCCTCATTAATTCACTCTTCCAACACAAACTTACTCTTTACATTCTCACTAAAACTCACACACCCTGTCAAAATCATTCTCTAGCCCTTTTTAGCACTCAAATTTATATAATTTTGTCTATAATCATTTTCAAAAGCACCGAAGTAAGAGGCTAATCACTTCTAGTCGGCTAGTAGTTTCTTAACACTGTAACTTTACTATGAGTGCTAGGGTGTGAATCTCCCATGTTTATTTGATCAATGATTTTATAGGATTTAGCATATGTAAATGCACTACAATATCAGAGTTAGGGAGTTGAATTATGGCACCAGGGTGGCAAACACTCGGGGCAAACTCTCGTATTTCTAGCCTCTTTTTTACAGCATTTGGTGCGTAGGTATTTTATTTATAGGATTGAGGTGCTATAGCTCTAGCCCGAGGGCACCACCTATGAATTACACTCTTTTCAAGTCACCTATCATGTTGCAATCCTACCAAAACACATAAAAAATACACATGAAAAAATATGAAATAAAACAAATTATACCAAAATTACATTTAATTAGAGATGTTTACAAATAGATACAACAAGATAATGTATCCAATAGATGGCTACCACAGCGAAATAATGTTATACAATCAACATTATTAACTTTATCAATTTAAATGAATCATGTAACTTTTAAAATTTATAATACATCTAGGAAAATCAAAATAATATATGAAAAATTAATTTTTTTTCCAGAAGTTAAATACAATTAAATAAAATTAATCTAAAATATTTTTTATATTTGCTTGCATGTTCTATAATTTCATTATGAATTTAAATATTTCTAAGCTTGAAATATACTAATATAAGATTATTAAATAATTTGAGATGCTTTTAATGTTTGCATTGACCTTTGATCATCCTTCTATGAATTTAAATTGATTTGATCCTAATTTTCTTAACTAAATTCTAAACCCTAATGATCTATACGCTACACCTTAGGTGACTCCTAATACTCTTTGGCTAATCGTTTTGAACCTAAGTCACTTAGATGAACCTCACTATCTTTAAATGAACTATAACAACCCAAATAATGGCAAAATTGCCTTAGATGAGTTACCCTAGTCCAATTTAGGTGATAGAAATTAATCAACACTATTTATTATGTTCTATGTTTTTTTATCTTAGTTTACTATAAGGATTTAATTTCACTTTTATGTGATCCATCTAGACTATTGTCTTATCTTTCCTAAGTATCTAAAACCTATTATTAAAACCTTGGCGCTTGCCTTTCTCAACAAATTCTAAAAGTTTGGGGGTCTTACTTCCCATTCTAATTAAATCCTCAATGAACTTAGCACTCTACGCGAATCAATCATGTCTCCTATTTACTTAAATCTTAAATTATTTAGTTTACCATAATAAAACCCTAGTAATTCTAACCACAGTCAATTCTAGTACATGTTATCCCATGCTCGATAAATCATAGGCGACCCTTAAGTTTTTTCATTACTTGATTCCACCTTAGATAAATCCTAAGTGATGCTTATCATGAGTAATTTAACACACAAACGAATAGCCATTTTAACGTCCAAAGAGATCATAAAAGCTTAAAAAAGTTTTAAAAGCTCCATTATTATTTACAAATTACGTGCAAATAGTTTTATCTCATTATGATTCGTTGGCTCCGGTCAACACATCGAGGCAAGATCCATGTAAAGACTATCTCGACCTATTAGATGGAAAGAACTCAAATTTGTATAGTCTTAGAATTTTGTGACTATCTCAACAAGAATACATTTGGACTACATAAAAGTCCGAGTTTTTTTAACCGTTCAAATTATTTTAAAAAAAAATTGTAATTACATTTTTAATACACTCTTGAGATCATTTGAATTTAATTTTGATGATTTAGATATTGATGGAATGGTCTCAAGTCATTTGAATTTAATTTTGGTGATTTTGATATTGATGGAATAGTCTTAATGAATCGATTATTTCATTTATATGCACACATCATGTCATTTCAATCAAACTCAATCAAATTCAGATCCATACATTTCATTGTTGATTGAATACCAGACAAAAAAAAAAAATCAATAAGCATGAAAAATCAATCCTCAAATTCTCTCAAAATCAATTTTGAATACTTGTGGCTTCATAATTAGATTATTTTGAGATATTTGAAAAATTACACCTTTAATATATTCATGTTATTACAATGATTTTTTTTAATAGAATTTTCATATTATTTTATATAAACTGCTCTGAAATAATACTCGTTGATGTGCATTATTTTTTCTGTCATGTTTGATTGCTTAAATTATAAATATTTAAGAAAATAATAAAATTTATCAAATTTGTTATTTGGATAATGTTTCCAAAATAAATTATTATTAATAAAAAAAACATATTTTAAGTTTCCTAAAATCCTTTAAAAGTCCTCTAAAAAATAAATAATATAATTTACATTAATTTATTATTAAAGATTAGATTGTTTCTCAAGTAAAATTTATATGTTTATCATATAATTTTTATTTATTTACATATCTAAGACCTACATTTGATATTTTTAATTTATGACACTAGTTATGAATTTATCAATGAAAAAGTAAATTTCACCTTATATTTTTGGTTTGATGTTTAAATGTTATAGTGTTATATATATAAATGTAAATTTAATTATTTTGTTATGAGACCGTGATATAAATAAGTTGAGTCGAGCTCGAGCTTAAACATACGAGTTCGAACTAATTTATCATGAAATAGAAAAAAATAATATTATTTCAAACTAATGTTATAATAAAATAAGTAATAGAATGCACAATCACATAATAAAAAATAATAAATAGCATAATATAAATAGAAAATATAAAATAATGATTTTTATTTTTTTTTTTGATAATTTAAATATGAATTCTTGAATTTTGATATATTTTGAATATATTTTTTAAACGAGTTGGCTCACAAGCTGATGAGTTGAGTCGGGAAAGACTTCAGCTTAGGCCAATCGCTAATCTAGGCTCACGATATAGGTTGGCTTAATTACACTCATAGAGGGTGTTTGGTAGCACACTTTTAATAGAATTTAGCCATGAATGTCACCTAAATCCAGCCAAACAGCAAAAAGAGAAAACCCAAATTCCATTAAATTCAATTTTAATATGTTTTCTCTCTTTCTGCTACGTAAATTCAGATTTATTAAATCAAACAATCAGACAGATTATACTGATTTACGTCATTTTTCATTTTTCATGTAAGCTTCATGTAAGCACGAGCTGACTGGAATTAATGTAAATCTTGTTAGGATGTAAATAAATAAAAAATAAGTGGTATGCATGTAAATTATTTCGAAGAACCAATTCAATTATTTTAAGGAAATGGTAATTTAGTTATTGCCAAGCACCCGCCGGGCTATTTTGGGAAGTCGGTAAGGGGAGAAACGCCAAAAACAGCCATCATTGTAGCTTTCGCTATATCTGCGGCTTTGACCACCAGACCTCAGCCCTTCTGGTCTCTATCAGCTCTCCATTCTTTCTTTTCTTACTGCTGTCTTCATTCAAATTTACTATTTTTTTAACATTAGTTCTACCCATTCGCCCTTTTATTCTTATCAGCCTCCTTGTCCCGTTCCTCTCAGGCCAGAGAGCTCAGAGTTATTCCTCTGTTTTGTGTTCCCATGAGGTAGGTTCCTCCATGTTTTTCCTCTTATAATTTGATTTTATTTGGCGAAGTATGCTACAAATCATTCCATAGTTGGATTTGGAGGAGTGGGAGAAGCTTACGGGTTGTCGGCTGGTCTTTAGAATGTCTACTTTTTTGAGCGATTTTTGCTGCGTAGTTTGGGGGTTTAGGGTTTGCGCCTTTCTGATTGCGGAAAGATGTAAAATTTTGATGGTTTGAATATTCTTTGTTTGATTTTGGAAGTTATTGGCAGCCATTGCGTTTTGTGAGGAAATTGAATGTGAGATTTGTTTCTCGGTTTTTATTTTGCAGAGTTGCGCCGTTTAATTTGACTGCTTGCTGGAACTTGTTTTCTCTGATAGCCTAAAGTGGAAATTTGATTGTATTTTTCTAAGAAATTTTATTTGGTGGAAAGTGCTATCCTACCATGGAAAACGTGGAATAAAATAAGCAGATTGGCATTACTTTATTTTACCGTCGAGGATCTTGCTGTTAGCTTTGGAAATTGAATAAAGGAGCTTTAAGAAAATATTTCTTAAGGTCTTACACTGATACTTAACTGTAACTAGCAGTGGCAGTAGATTCTTTTCTATAGTTTTCAAGTTGGACTTCCATGTTATATGAAGTGCTCATGTAATACAAGTTATGCTGTGTAAGACTGTGTTTGCCTGAAGATAAAAATATGAGCTTAATACCTTATCTTTTTGAAATAGGAAGATTTAGGTTCACACCACTCAATTCTTATGTAATTTGCATATCTAACACCTAAGCCTTGATTTTTGCATATATTTTACCTTACCTAGGCATGTTTTAAAAGTTAAAATAGAGGTAATTTTAATGTGATATGAATATCTGGATGGTATAAATGTGAAAAAAGCAAAGTTTTGGTGTTAGATATACATAAGAATTGGGTTGTTTGTATTTAAATGCCCCTTTGAAATATGCTACTTCACAATTTATTTTATCTTGTCCTTCAATCTTGAATTGATCAAAGACACATCAGTTGTGGTAAGCAACCATTCATAGATTAGACTAGAAAAAGAATGCACCAATGTAGCATAGTTGGAGGTTGACATTAAAGTTCTAATGTTACATGTAGCCCGAATACACATGTTCTTAATAATGTTCTCCATGCTTAGCAAGAGGATTTGGTCTCTTTTCTTTTCCTTGGAGAGAGATTGCAGTCCCATCTTACTAAAACTCAGTGGCCTGTACTTTAACCAAACCATTTGGGGTTGGCAGGATGGGCTGCTTTACAGTATTGAGAGGCAAGAAGAAGACAAGCGAGCATTCGCTGACCAGGAAGCCGGTTTCCATACACCAAAACATCAGCACTGCACTTCCTGAACCGGAAGTTCGTAAACCATCTCTCCAATCTGCACCTCCAAGTTTTAGAAGTCAAACCAAACAAATCCAACAACCTAACCAAACAATGTATAGCAGAGTTCGGGCACTATCCGCACCTTCAAGCTTAATTGTGGTTGGTCAAGATGTTTCTTCTTCATTTGAATTGGATGAACAAGAAGAATTGAAGGCTCAAGTTGCATCATCAAAAGAGCAGCGGTTTTTGAATCCTGTTCCTCTCCCGTTACCATCTCCACGGGGTAATTCTGTATTGAAAAATGCGGGAAGCTTTAAATCTAGTGCTAGCGGGCACCATGTCCTAAATTATGGTCCCCTGCCTCTGCCTCCATTAGCTGGAGGCAGCCTTCGGAATTTCACCTATGAAGAGATTGCTGCTGCATGCCAAAATTTTGCAGCTGATAGGTGTGTTGCTGAAGGTATCTCATCTACTTTTTATAAGGCCACATTTGGAGATGATTTGGTTGGATCGAAGAAGGTTGAAGCCACAGTTGCATGCTTGCTTAATTCCTCACAGGTAATATTGACAGCATCACATCGTATATGGAAATGGTTTTCCACTCATGGTTAAATTAATATGCAATGCTCTTCTTTTTTTTTTTAAATCTTGGGGAATTTACATACGTGGCACACAATTCTTATCTATTAACATATATTACACCTAAAACTTCATACTTGCATACCTAGCATTTTGGTGCTTTAAAGCTACGCTTGAAAAGGTGTATTTCACTTTTAGAAAGTGGAATAGTGCTATTTCTTATGTGATATTAAAGATTTGAGTGTCATGTGTGTGTTTGAAAGTTTAGGTGTAGATATTTAAATACACAAGAATTGTGTGCTATGCATGTAAATGCCCTTTATATTTTTGCTTTTACTATAGGCTGCTCTGTAAGTGCTATTTCATGGCATGCCTGGTTACAGTGTGAAAAGAATAAATAAATAAATTAATGGTTTCATTACCACCCTTTTCTCTCTGGTTTAGCGATCGCCTATGAAATATATCACCGGATACTTGGTCAAGCTTAACTTCTTGCAGAGAAGGTTATTTAGGGGCTATTTTGCTACATGTAGGTTTCACTGGATCATATAAGTCCAAATTTAGTTAATCATGAGAGGGCTAAAACTTGAAAATGTTTGGCCTTTTGTTTAGGATTTTAGGACTTTTTGAGGAAAAATTCCTAAAGAAGTTATATTTTGTGAATGATGAGATTTAACAAATTTTATATTCAATCAATAATGGGGCTAGATTTTGATTTATTGAAATAATAGGATTTAAAGTTCCCAGAATTCTGTCTGGCAATATTTAAGCTGAATCTTGCTTAAATTCTGCTAAGAATAGGATACTAAGCAGCCCCTAAGACTTCCATTTCTGAAGAATACATATCGAGTGGTACATGGCAAATGAAATAAGCATTTTGTGGTGACTGAAAATATTCTTCCACTTATACTAAATGATAATGAAATCATCGTCTTTTTGTGGCTTAACTATAGCTTCTATGATTGGTTCATTTCGACATTCATTAGACATTTTATGTGGCTATATCATTTGTTGATTTATAAGATTGTTTATTCTCTTTCGTAGGCTTATTCATAATATTGCTTAGAAGGTCAAGTATTGTGGAGCATGTTTAAAGCTTTAATCTAACTAGAATTGATGGAAGCCAAAAGAACCATGCTTGGATATGTTTTTCAAAGTCTGCGCCTTTGACCTTCCATTGCTCAAATATGATTTTTATATCAAACTACACTTTCGCCATGCATAAACTAGCTTGGTTCATTGACAGGACAAAATTTAAATTTTAGGGGCATTTACATACATAACACTTTTCTCATCTATTTACATATCCCACACCTAACTCACATTTACACAAAAAACCTAAATATCTATTATTACATTAAAAATAGCACTGTTACTGCTTTATAAAAGTGATATGTACCTTTTCATGCATACCGAAGTGCTATTTATGTAAATATGAAAGTTTAGGTGTGAGATATGTAAATATGTAAGAATTGTGTGCTAGGTATGTAAATTTCTCTAAATTTTATGAGTACAACCTGTGCCATGTCATCATACAGTAGCTTTATATGTGCTTGTGCTTGTTTTGAATATGTTACTAATATATTTTTGTTAGAGTTTTAAATACCTTTTTCCATAGCTTTTTTTCATATCTATCAAAAAAGCTGTACTTTTTTTAACGCATTTTCAAAAGAGAGACTTTTTTAGGTCTCTGGCTCCCATTTAGTTCCTGAAAAAAGTATGATGTAAGCTATTTCTTAACTTATTGCTCGCAGAATTTTAAAGATTTCACCAATGCGGTGAACACAATGGCTTCTTTACAACATCCCCAATTGTGTAAGTTGCTCGGCTTCCATGCACGTGAGGGTTCTGATCAACGAATGTTGGTTTATGAGAGACTCTATCATGGAAGTTTGGATCGACTGCTCTATGGGAGATCTGATGGACCTGCAATTGACTGGTCTGCACGGATGAAACTCGCCCTTTCTGCGGCGCGAGGTCTCGCATTCTTGCACGAAGAAGGGCCTTTTCAGGTGGGGCATTGTAATTTTAGTGTTAGTATTTAATCTTATGTAACAATTTGGTGGTCTGGAAAGGAATAATTCCTTGAGATTTTATTATTCAAATGTATATATATCCCTTCTAATTTACAAACTTATCAAATATATCTTACTTAAATTAGAAAAGGAAATAAGTCTGAAATAAAAAATAAAATAACATAGAATATGAAGGGAATAAACTAATCAAATGTTTCTTTGTCCCAATCTACTCTTTCAGGATTTGGAAGTGACCAGAGAGAGAGATTTCTTCCAGGATTTACTCAGTTTTTATTTTCTTTTTCTTTGCTCTTAGAAAGAACTTCCTGTTGTTGCTGGGACTCCTGTTTTTTTTTTTTTTCCTTTGCTTGGGTAAGCTTATATTGCAGTGCATTACTCAAACCAATAATAAGGCCAGAAACAACACATTTTACCTACATGATTCTTTTTTTTGATAATTCTTTTGTATAAGTGCTTTCTATTTCATTTTATGTTATTGCATGATTCCTAGGCTTAACATTTATATGAGGCGACAAACTGTGGTTACTGGACCCGTGTAGAACTGATTTTTTTTAATTTTCCTTCTGTTTTTACGTTTACTTTCTCTCTGATAAATTTATGCACGACCAATCTTTTTGTCATTGGTTTCCCCATTTCTTATAGGCTATGTTTCATGAGTTCTCTACTGCCAATATACAAGTAGAGAAGGACTTCAGTGCAAAGTTATCAGGATATGGAAGCATGAGCTATCCTCCAGAAGCTGAGGTCTTAAACACTTCAGTGGTGAGTGATGTAAATTATCATTTATCACATACAACTAACCAATTCGCTACATAGCTACAACTCTACTTATTCTTCATATTGGTATTTCAATTATTACAAGGAGTGAAAAACAAAAAGCTTTACTATGGTACTTGACCGTTAATATTCGTATGAACCATATATTCACAATAGAGATACGATAAAGATGACACTGATTGTTAAGTTTAATATTATTTTATAAGGATTAGGAAGAAAAATGATTAGAAAATGATCAAGTTAAATAGAAATTACATAAAAAACATTACTCTAAATATATTTAATAAGATTAATGATCGATGATATAAATATCGAGTTTTTGAACATGCAAAATGTTAATGATAGCCGTTTCCTCTCTCAGGCCACTGCAAACCTTTCCCTAGAGACTTTAGAGAAAGGATTGCTAACACCCAAAAGCAATGTATGGAGTTTCGGCATCGTCCTTCTTGAACTTCTCACTGGTCGAAAGAACCTCGATTCTCACCACTCGAAAGAGGAGCGAAACATCGTCAAATGGAGCAAGCCTTTTCTCACCGACGATTGCCGCTTATCGCTGATCATGGACTCCCGAATCAAAGGGCGGTGTCCACCGAAGGCCGCCCGCACCGTCGCCGACATAGCTCTCAAATGCCTCAGTAAAGACCCCTCAGAAAGACCCACCATGAGGACCATCGTTGAAGCTCTTGGTAATGTCCAAGATATCAAGTTTCCCTGTGGATATCCGCTGCAAGAACCGACATCTATTACGGGAAAGCAGATGTTGAAGTCATCGAGCCTTGACGGCATGATTCTTCCAACTCCGCCGATGTATTTTTCGCCTTCCCCTCCATCTTCAATGAGCCATGCATTAGTTTCGCCCAGAAACTCACTCACAGTGGCTGCACCTGCTGTGACTTGTGCCTCCACTCTGACAATGGAGGAATATAGGACAAGTTCTGTGAGGAGATCATCTTCTTCGACTATTCGTAGGCCTGGTGTGGAGGGATTTTAATTATTGTATATTGCATTTTTCCTTTTTTTTAATTTTGTTTTGTTGGGTTTTTCTGCAAGGTAATGATTTAGTGTTTTGTAAGAATGATTCAGGTATGTATGGCATGCTGCTCTTGTACCCCTTTGGAGAATAATGATTAAGAATGAAAAATCTGCATATATAACATTTTGGTGCCTTACACGTATATTTATGAGAGGTATATTCCACTTTAAAAAGGTTGGTAAAAATGTTATCTTTGACGTAGTGTTAAAAATTTGAATGTTATGTTTGTAATAATGTAGGAGTTAGATATGTAAATACATAAGAATTGTGATGTCTTTATGTAAATTCCCTCATCATCCTTGGCACAGTTGATATAGGTTTTCGATTACTCAGTTGATGTAGTTTTTGAAGAATGCCCGAGATAAGTTTTGTTCCCAAATTGAAAATGATTTGAAGTTGAGAAAGAACAGTTGGAAGTTGCTTTCAGCTGTCAGTTTCTTTGTTAAAACCTGAAAATTGAGGTATAGGTTTTAGAAATGTAATTACATAGAAATTTTTGGTTCAAGTAGAACCAAATAATTTTCATGTCGGGTTCGAGTCCAAAATCCTAACATCTAATTCTAAGTCGGGTTCCGATTGACTCGTGAACCCAAATTGATTTGACTCTGACTCATCATCCTGAAATTGATTTGAATTTAACTCCAAAAACTATTATGTTATACTAAACATGTTATGCAGATCGTGTTCTGGTCAGTCGTGTTAAAAGTGGGGCAGAATCAGCTTTAGACATTCTAGCCCATTAAGCATTCAGGCCTAATTTGAGTTAAATAGTTTTAGATGAGGTTAATTTTGAGTCAAACATCCCTCAACCGATTTGACACCTCTAGTTATGGAGGAATTATTGCGTGCGGACACCACATGCATCTCTGCATGCGGTGTCCTATCCTGGCCGTAGATCACGGTGATCTACGATCAGGATTATTTCCGTTTTTTTTTAAAATAAAAAAAATTTAGGTGGGGCCCACCAAAATACATCGGGACCTTAGATCAGGTGATTTACGGTCTGGATCGGACACCGCACGCAAACGGTGTCCGATCCGTATGGAATAATTTTTCCTAGTTATGTATGTAATTGCCTTAGTTTTCATTTTGGTTCCCACTTTGTGTTAAATTATTTAATAACATTTAAATTCTAACGAAACAATAAAATACAATCAAAATTAAAAACATATAAATGTTTTGAATAATGTTATAAAATTCAATAAAAAACTAATTTAAAATAAAAAAATAATTATTAATAAAATTCAAAAGATGACCAAAATTAATTTTATTTCTTTTGAAATTTTGCCTGCAAAATTTCAATATATTTTAATGTAGGAAGCAGTTTTTTTGGCAAACATTTGAATGGTCAAATGTGAACTTAGAATATTGGGTAGTTTATAAGAAACTGTTAAAATATGCAATGAAGACAGATGGATTTTTCTTAAGATATTAAAACCATATAAAACCTTAAGATATGTTGTGCCTTGACGCAAGATTAATAAAAGAGGAGCAAAGCATCATGAAATATTGATATAAGATACAGAATGAACCATCAAATAAATTATTAAATCAACACTAAATTAGTATTTTATTGAGATCATAATGTGTTGAAACCTTACTTGCCTTTTTGTATGCACGCCATGAGTTAGAGCTGAAAGGAGGAGAGAAAGAATGCCCTTTTGATTATATCCCGACCTCCTATTTATAGGGGTGTAAATTACATATATAGAAAAGAGGGGGACTGGTTATAATAAGTGCCCAAATGACTGGAGCGACATGCTTGTTGAGTTAAAAGTACATTACAATGCAAAAGAAATATAATGTTTATCGACTGTTGGATGCTTTGATTTTGACTGGCCATGTCGATCGATCACATATAAGAGATCACTTCAGCTGAGAGGTCTGGTCGATCAATTAAAGTCATCTGATCGATTCGGTGAGAGATTCGTTGGTCAATAGGTCCATCAGTCGATTTCATTGTGTAGTCGATCGACTGCTTGGTCAGTCCACATCTGGTTGTTTGGCTCGAAACTTCGGTCCCCTGAGACTCCATTTCTAGCTATTTGATCCCTTTGAGATTCGTGTTAGAATTTTTGTTCTATATGTATTAGTTCCCTAATTTTTTTTACTCGTTGATAGCGACAACTACAATAAGGACAGAAATTTTATTAACCAACAAACAACACAATAAACAAAAATAAATTTAATAATCAATTGTCCCATGCATTCCTTTCTCAGTGATCCCTATAAATAGGGCAGGAAGACTTGCGCTATATTTGTTTCATTCAATGTCTCTTGGGTTTCTCGAGTGGCATCATGGTTGACGGTTTGAGCAAGAAGAACATTGACGTCCGCCATTTAGCTTTGGAAGATTTTCGACTTTCTGTCTCTACAACATTCAAAAAGAAGAAAAGAAAGTTGAAAAGAAAAAGAAACTGTCGACACCTGAACTTTAGTTGGTCAATCAAGTCGCTTCTTCGGAAGGTCCTGACAGTCATGCATCGAAGAAGTCTCTAAGGATGGATGCTCGCCTGAAAGTGTTGAACTTTGGCCCAAGCATTTGTGTAATTGTTAAGGAAAACATGCTAGTCATTCCACATGTGGAAGGAACCGAGGGTGGATAGAAAGAGAAGGTTGTCATCAATTTTATTCTGCCCCTACTGAAAAACAGGGATGGCTTCCTTCTGATACAAGGAACAAATGAATTTTTTGTTACCTTTTCTAAATTAAACAAATATTTGAGTATGTATATTTTCAGACTAAGACAATCTTTAATGATTCCTTGACATTTTTTGGAGGATCGTGCTGATGATGGGTCGTCCAAGAATATCATTTAATGATTTCTTGATCGAAAGAGAAGGTTGTCATCAATTTTATTCCGCGCCTACTGCAGAGTAGGGATGGCTTCCTTCCGATACAAGGAACAAATGACTTTTTTGTTACCTTTTCTAAATTAAACAAATATTTGAGTATGTAAATTTTCTGACTAAGACAACCTTTAATGATTCCTTAACATTTTTTGGAGGATCGTAATGATGGTGGGTCGTCCAAGAATATCATTAATGATTTTGCCCAAATGCCTATGACTACAATGTAAAATCCAGCCACTACATCTCTTTAATCGATTAATGAGGGTGTGTACTGGTCGGTGGAGCAATTCAGCAGCTCCTAACAAAAATAGTTGGAGAGCCGAGAACTGTCCTCCGGTTCGATAGAACACCAAATGAGGAAAATGGTTGACCACTCAATGAAAGCAATTGGAGAGTCTGCTGATGGGCTTATGCGGGAGCTACTGCCACGATTTGCGAGGTTGGAAGAAAAAGTTTATGCACTTTATATTGATTGATGTACAGGGCGAGTTAAAGCCCTTTCGAGAGTCAATTGTTTTAACAAATTCCAGCAAGATGTCAAGAATGGATCAAGTTAAGATAGGCATAGAGTTGGTCTTCCGGAGGATGCTTCAGCAAAGGTTTTCTTTGGCTGAAGTTGCAGAAGTCCCTTTTAATAAGTTTTTCCTTAAAAAAACCGTAATCATTTTATTTGTAATGAAATAATATTTTAGTTAATGTGAAATGTTGTTTGGTGTGAAATTTTTCTTTTTGAACCGTTTCGACTTTCACTTTCACTCCACTCTCTAAAGAAGGCACGAGGCCCTCATTTCACTTTTTACACTTTCAGCCTTCTTCTCTACCAAATCTCTTCACTTATGATTTTTTAATGGCTTTGAAGTATTCTTTAACACTCCTTTGGACTTATGTTGTCATCGACTCGTCCATCTCGATTATGATGGATGTGAAGGAACTGTAGAAGTTCTACATCTTTGACAGAACTATCAATCTGCGAAAATTTCAAGAATATGATCGACCGACAAACAACTTTTGCTCATACTTGATTTTTCAAAGAGTTCAATTCAGTTGTGGGCTACGGCTTTCTCTATGCTCTGAGCTGCAGAGCATCTTCAAACGATATGTTGTCATCCTCGCACAAGCTCTCCCGAACTCAGTTGCTGCCATCATGAATTTTGTGATCTTCTATCATCGGGAGGAAATACCTTGGTCAAGGGATGTATTTAATCATTTTTATTCATTTAAAGTTGAAAAGGATGAATTTGAGAATCATAATGTAGTTAAATTTTACATAACCCTACTAAGTATCCCAAGAATCCTTTTTTCCTTATGTGATGACATTCTCCTAAGATCATTATTCCTATTTCACTAAGTGATTGAGTGTTAACTTAATTTTCTTCTAACCTACGATCCATAGTCCTAGATCACAAGAAGTTTTAACTTGTCAAGTGACCAATTTGAAATTAGATTAAGATTAGAAAGTTAACACACAAACATGCACTTAAATAACTAATAGTCTAAAGGAAATCTCATGAATTGAACATGATTCGTGACACTTCCAAATCAAAGAAGTATAAATTTCTTAGTTCATACACATGTGGAAAGAAAATTAATTAAATTTTATTTAAATACAAAATGAAAGTGTAAACAAACAAAAAACAATCAAACCCAATATAAATCTTGTTATGCTCCATTATCGTTCTTCCTTGTATAATGTTTCTTCACTTGGATTCACTTTCTCAAACTTATGGTAAGGAAAACATACTCCTCACACACTCCAAACACTCACACTCACTAAGTGCTACTCTCGGCCTTCCCTTTGTCTCCTTGTGTTTTATCAAAGTTTGACTCCTATCAAATGATGATGGAGTGAATTTAAGCATTAAGATTGTTCCAACTGCTCAAAAACAATCAAAAGTCATTGGGGAGTGCAATGGCACTGGCAAGGTAGTGTGAGGGCACTGGGTGTGATGTGATGGTGTTCAACTGGGAATTGGGTTTTATGGTTTTTGAATCCTTGACTTAGAGCTTCTAGCATCTTGGTGTTGGAATTAAATGGTGCTTCGATGGTAGGCAACAACACAACAACGCTAATGCCTAGGTGTCGAGCACTCTATCTTTTAGCATAAAATAGATCTTCACTAGGCATCTTGGCGTCAATCTAGGGATTCAGGGTGCTATAACATATCTTAGCCAATTTGTTACTCCCAAGTGCTTAAGTCTTGGATTTAGATTTGTATCATATAAATAATACAATATATACCCCATAAAAATATAACTTTGATATATAAAA